CCGAGCGTTCCCCGGGCGATGCCGGGCGGCCGCAGCGCTGCCGGGCCGTTCCCGGCTCTCCCGGAGCCCCTCCGGCTCTCCCGGAGCCCCAGGCTGTTCCCTTCCACGTCTTCAGGTGTTTGCTCGGCACTCGGGACCCCTTCCCCGTGAAGGAGCTGTCTCTGCGAGAAACCGCCTGACGCCGCAGCGGGATGGATCCAGACTCACCGTGACGGGAAACGGTGATAAAGGATCAGCTGGGCATCGCTCAGATTTCATTTTAACAGAAGTCGAGGTAAGGACACAAAATTCTTCTGAACAATAGGGGATTTTGGACTTTTTCGAAAAACCTGGTACTGCCGGACTGAACATTGTCAGTTTAGTAACAGAAGGAAAGTTCTTGGCTACCCACTGTAAACCTTCTCATGTTGCTTTCATTTAAAATCATACTTTGCTTTTCATCATTCTAGAAATGAAATCACTGTAAAAAAAAGGATGTGATATGTCCTCAAGGATTCAAAATAGAAATAACAAATGTTTGAGATATATCTGTATACTGCAAACTTCATGGAATTTGTAGAGGTAGGGTTTCCAGAAGGGGGAGATAAGCTTCAACATTTTTTAATTATTTTTTTTTTCTGAAGTATTTAACAAAACCACACATTTCTCCTGCAGGAAAGAATGCTACAAGAAGTTGAGTCATTCAAATGGTCTGCACAGAACCACATTTTTGTGAAGACTGAACCCCTTCATGTGGCTCTGCACTTGAAGCCACATCTGCCTTTCTCCCCTTCCCATGTCTGTGTGGGTGGAACAATAGGAGTGAAGTGAGATCTACCCCACAGGTCAGTCACACTGCCATCATCCACCCTGTCACACACTGTCCTGCGACCTGGGACTGACGTCAGCCACATCTCTGAGCTGAGAGCTCCTACCTTGTGAAGAAGGGCAGCATTATACCCTGCCAACTTCAAAAAACACCTGGTAAATAATAATGGTTTCCTAAACCAGCTGGGAAAATTTATGGAATGATGTAAATCCTTAATTGTAACAGTTGCTTTGGTGACAGCCTCAGTCAGCATCCACAAGCACACGCAGGCAGAGGCTTCATTGAGCAATTGTGCAGTGCTGTCAGCAAACCCTGCTGCCTCTGGCCTGAGCTGATGGCAGTACTGTGAAGGCAATGTTTGATTTCTGTGTCACCTGCATGTTCACACAAGCGTCCTTACCAAGGGCTGGGGATCCTCAGCATCAACACAGGCTGTTGCTAAGGTGTGTCCCTTCACAGGGTGCCAAACCTCTGCATTACAAAATTAATTTCCTCTGGCAAGGTGCAGCAGCTGAAGTACACAGTGCAGCAGCACTGGGCACCGTCCTAAGGCAATCACTCTGGATTTTAGAGACCAAAATTTGCATGGATATTCACAATTATTTCCCCACCTGGGTTTGCTCACCATATATTTGAGTGTGGTTTAGAAGCTTTGAAATTCCGAATGGCTTTGCCAAATGAAGAAAACTGAGGAGCACTGTAAGAGAAAGTCTTAGTAAACAACAGTTGGACATCTGCTTTGAGCTCTGGTGAGTGCATTGTGCAGTTCATAACACTCATTTGACTTGCAGTGTGCATTTCCATCTGGAAAACAGAAATCATCTTCCTTAGCCTTCCTCAGCCCAAACAAGATTTGCCATCTGGTAGTCTTATGCTCTGTGGGTTTCTGGTGTATTTAAATGCTTCTGAAGGCACCAACCACTGCTAATGCTGGTGAGATACTCAGATTGAATCAGAACTACATATCTACTTTGCCTTAACTATTTTGTAGTTAAAAGGAGTGGTAATAAACTTGCTTGAGCATCCTCTGACTATGATCCATATTACATCAACTAGTGATTCCTTCATTTTATCCATCCTGCCATATGATACAGGCTTTATCTTTTATATGTGGCCTCACAAACATATCAGCAAATATTATGAGTTGTTACATCCACGGCTTAATGTCACTAAAATATCTCAGATGGCCACTCTGCTCCTGCACAGCCTGGGCAGCCTCACACAAGGTCACTGTGGCACAGTCAATGCACCTTGCACAGCAGATGCTCATAGATGAGGGTGATGCCATGAGTGCAGTCTCTCTGCAGCTTGAGCTGCTTTCCCCTTCACATAGCCTCTCAGCATCCCAAAAATCCAGACACACAAGTCTGGAGGGGAGGATATTCCCATACACACATGTGTTTCCATTCACCTCAGCTATAACATGTAGGGACTGCCATGGGGTCACTGGGTCTCTCTGCCTCTCCTGTCCAAACTATTCCAGTTTATGAATACTGCTTGTTAGCACGCTGGTTTGAATTCAATCAGTAAATATTTGTTACTCAATTCAATTGCTGTTCAGGCCTTAGTCTTTGCAGTGTGAAATAACTGCAGGGAACCAGAAACACCAGACTTAGGTGTATAAATACCACGGAAAGTTGGAGGCTGAGGATCCTGAGACAAAAGAGGCCCAGTAAGGTAAGTGCCAAGACCTGGATTTTCAATTTTCCTTTAGCTCTTACTGCTTTATACATTTCCCGCTTCTGGGGATGCCTGGGGATTTTGACTTTGGCTGGCAGCCTGATCTCTGCACCACTCTGGGGAGCATGTTATTTTACCCCCAGGTAACAGCAGAGCACTCGAGGTTAGCTCTGCAGTGCTCAGCATCCTTGCCAATCTGTCCTTGGTGCTTTTAACTGTGGAGCTCATCATTTCACTTGTTCACTTGTTCACTACTGACATTGTAGGGTGAGCTGTAAGTTGGTGTAAAAGGCTGAGATCAGGATAAACTGTTGAATTTTTCAAATGGCTCTTTGTAGGCTGCCTGTCTGATCAAGGAGACAAAGAGCTGTCTGTACTGCTGTAGAAGAAAGCCAAAGTAAGAGCTCTCGAGTAATTTATTACAGATTTAAGGAACTGACTCCAACTTCTTCTACAAAAAAAAAAGCCTTTGGAACTGCATAAAAATCAATGGGATTGTGGCCTTAGTCCCTTCTAACACCATTTAAATATATGATTCATATAGCATGAGTAATAATAATTTAAAAAAATCCAAAACATCTTCCCTCTATTTTATTGCTTTACTAGCACTGATACACTTATTTCAAAAAAATCTTCCAGTAGCTTCTACATAAAATGATAAAAGCATTTTAGCCACAGCAGTGCTTTGCAGGTACACATATTAACATTTGAATCTTAAACTCTCATTTGGGGCATGTGCTTCAGAGGCTTTTCTGTGCAAGAGAATTCCTCTGTTCACATGCATGAGGACACCATTGTTTGTGTGTGAGAAAAAAAAATCCTGAAGATGTGTTAATTCCTTATTTCTGAATAAGCACATGGCAGTTTTTAATGTTACTATAGGAAATGTATTTTTACACAATATAAAACATGAGAGAATCAACACTTTTTTTTTACTCATACTAGCTATGTTTTCTATGGAGATAAATCTTTAAGATCGTCTCTGACAAGTCAAGACCAGGGCATAGGTCAGATAACAGTGAAAACTTAGGGAAACAGTTCCTTCCATTGCCTGCTGGGGTTCCAGGCAGATCTGTTGGGTTTTTTTCTGTCTGAGCCATCAGTTGATTTATGGTTGCATTTGCTTATAGCTGTGTTTCTACAAAAATAATGGAGGCACTGGATATTTTAAACTAAACACTATTCACAAACAGTCAGAGAGAGATAAACTTTAATAAAACTATTTGGGAGAACTGTCTGCTTCACTGATAAAGGATAACTCAGGACACCCAGATGTTTCCATGGTGTAAACTTTATGATGAAAAGCCCACACTGTTTCCATTGACTGCTGCTTGCAAATTTCAGACCTTGAAGGGGTCTGGTCTGTACTTTTGCAAGTCTGCTCCCAAGAGCAGCTGGGCAATCCCAGCTGCAGTCACGGAAACATTTGGGTCTGCAGGGGCATCTGGAGCACATCTGGTTGAAGCAGGTCCACTTAGATTGGGTTGTTCAAGGACTTTAGAATGATAAAATTATTTCAGTCCAGCTCCAAATTAAATTCACTGTGTATCCAGTGAATCATCACGTGCAAGGGGAGAGCTGAATCTCAGGAGGAACATTTGCTCATTAGAGTGGCTGGGAATTAGTCAGTGGTAGAAAAAGCACTTGGCTCCCTCATGAAACCTCAATGAATAGAAAGGCTTATACGAGCTGAAGAGCTAACTTTCCTTAAATCCTGTGCTAATATATGGTTATTGGGATGTGAAATACAGTGCTCCATTCAGACAGGAAGGTTTTTCTTCAAATGAAGGGCACAATCTGCATTTTTCTACACCATTCATCAAATGCACTGCTAGAAGTTTGTCCTTCCAGTTTTGGAAGGTAGTAGCTCGAATTAGTGATAATCCTATAATAGTGAAATTAAAGGAATAGACTTGAACTTTGAAATGTTTTATTTGGTGTCCAGTAAACTGTTTGAAAAGGGGTTCTTCAGGGTAAGCAAGCTATGAGCAAGGCTGAGGGCCCTGTAACCCTTCAAGGTGGCTTACAGAAACCAGAGGTCGATAGCCACCATAACAGGCACAAAATGCACAGAAGCCTGTGAATGCAAGATTTGGTCCAAGAAATAAACTATTTGGCCCAGTGGCACTAAACTCAGATGAGAGACAGTGGAGCAGAGCCAATGACAACAGATGGGAGCACACGTGATCACTGCAGCTCTGCTTCTTGGATGTAGCAGTGGAGCTGGAAGCCTGTGGCATTCCTGTGACCTGGCTCCTCATGCCTACACTGACCTCAGTGAAAAAGTGCCATGGCTTGAGGCAAGCAGGGCTGTGGAGCCTCTGGGCAGCACCCCCAGCATCTGCTCACAGATAAGCCACTGCCACTGAAAGGGCAACACATGGACAGGGGCTACTGAGTCAGGCACAGTGAGGTTCACCACAAGTGGTTCAGTGGGGTCATCCTTTAGCCCTGAGGATACTGGAACAGGTAAACTCTTGCATTAAAGTTGTTTTATGTGCTAATATAGGAATCTTACTTGACTTGCATCAACAACTGACTAGTGCAATGGCACTGAAAAGGATCAAGCACCTAAATACCTGGTTCATTTGGAGATGAAACTGTGTTTGGCTAGAACAACAAAAGACCCACCAGGTCCCTGTGAAGAAAAAAGAGGTTTTGAGCCCTTCTTTAAGTTATATTTTTACAGCAGGTGCTCATCTAACTACGATTTTGTGAGGCACAACTTAGTGTGCCTTGCTTCTATCCTTTTAACTTTGCTGTAATTGCAGGACTTCTTGGTTGATTAAAGATCTTATTTATGAGTTCATAAATTCCCATTGTCAAGTAGAGGAACTTTCAGGATGTGTGCCCTAAAAATGCTGAAATGCTGTTGAAGTAATATTAATTTAAAAGGCAAAGTTTTTTGTTGTTTGCTTTTTTTTGGGGGGTGGG